GGGGCGGGGGGGAGGGGGGGGGGCAGCGGCCGCCAGCGGCGCTTGCAAAGCTTCGGGGAGAATTGAAGCGTAGGAGGGGGGGACCTGCGCTTGTGTTCATCAGCGTCGTCGGCAGTGTCAGGGCTGAGCACCGGGGATAATTAAAAAAATTGTACTGCGTCCTGGGACTTGACGGAGCCTTTGCACCCCTGTGGTGGTTACTAATGCTGTGCTTCTGATGCGGAAATTCATTGTAACAGCTGGAGACAGTTGAGCCAAGCTTACCTGCAGCATCGTGGAGAAGCAGTTTGCTGTTGCACGTTATCCCTCCAGGGCTGGAAGCAGGAGGTGGGGAAAGTAGTTCTGTGTGAGCTGTGGGCAAGACAAAGGAAGGAAGGAAAACCTGCCCAGGGTTTGCAACAGCTGCCTTGAGCAGTCGTTCCGACCTGCGAGGTGTGGTACGAGTGTTTGTAAAGCGATCAGCTGGGGCTGGGCACAGCCGGTGTCTCCACTCCAGCTCGCCTTGGAGGAGATGCTCTGCAGGGCATATATTGTGCGATCTCCTGCTGCAGCACCAGTTCCTTGTTTGACATGGCATTTGTTGAGCATCGTTGCCATTCGCAGCCTAACGACAGTCTCAGAGGGGTATCTTCCCGCCCATCGGAAACAGACTAGATTAATGTCATCCAGGAGCAAAAGCAGACGCAGACAGAAGAGTATGTAAATGTAAGGCTTTTCTATAAAGCCACCATTATAAAATAGGAAAATGTCACTGGTTCTAGCTGGTGTGATTCTGAGACAGATATTTCCAGCTGAATGTCACTTTGCATCATATATATAAAAGCAGTATTACACGCTGAACAGTCTTTAAAATACCAACAGTCCATTGAATAGCTGTTAGTATCTTGGAAGGAGGAAGATCCCTGCCATCCAGAGGTGTCAGCATCAGATATGTACAGCCTCACCCACAGTAGTCATATGTACTTATTTTTTAATTACGCAATTTTGTAGAAGTTCAGCAAGTCTTTCGTAGGTGCTGTCTCTTTGCCATCCCCCTTCTAAGGGGTGTCTAATCTCCTTCCAGTCTTTAATATATTTGTTATCCAGCATTCCTGTGGGCTGTTACAGCTCTGATGAGACAAGCTAAACGATGCAACTAGAGTGGTACAAGAAGTCTGTGGCAGCGTAAGGAACACAGGTTTTCACAACTGCATACCTACCATTCTTCCACTTTCTTCAATTCATCTGGAAGAGACTTAAGTTGTATATTAATATGTACTGAATTCTAGTTATGGGACAGATGTTATCCTAGATCTCTGTGGGCTACTGATGCTTGGGGGACAAACTAGTGTACCGTTGTGACTCAATTTCAATTTATAGAAGCATATGTCATTCTCTTGGTGTTTGTTCTGTTTGGTTTGTGAACTGTGCAGTGGTAGGTTTATTTCTGAGTCAATTTATAAGTAATGAAAAGAGCTGGCTTGATAGCTTTTGAAACTTCAGGAATTTTCCTACTTTTGCAAGGCCATGGCAAAGCACTGGTAACCTCTTACAAAGGTTACAAAGGAGGACCTAATACTAGAAGGTTCTTCTATAGCTCTTGTTCACAGGAGCTGTAAGCAGGCAGTGCTGAAGACACTGAATACTTCTTGAAGGTAAGCGTCCCACCTTGCAAGACTGAGTTGAATGTGAAATGGTAGTTCATGCTCCCTGTACTCTCAGTTGAGATTGCTAATAAAGGTTCAGGTAGTATAATGGTGGGCAAGCAAAGTACTGACAAGACCGCAACCATCTATTGCTGACAGTGAGTGTCAACAAGGGCTAGAGATTTGCAAGCTGCTGTGTGAGCTTGGCTGATTTATCAGTGCAGAGGCTGTTAGCTCTGTCACTGATGACTTAATTGTGTAAGGGAGGCAGTGTGACTTCACTGAGCAGACAGAATGAAGAGAAGGGACAAGGAAAGGACATATGAGTGTGATAGGAGGCAACAGTAAAGCTGAACCTAGGGATGTTCACGTATTTAGTGTAGATTTCTTGTGGTTGAATTATTCAAACCACCTGTGTGTGTCCAGCTCTTTGCTTCAGGCTCCCTGCAGCTGTGCAAATAGGAATGCTTCATCAGCTCCCCTTGTATTTCCAAATCTCTGCTGAGAATGTACCTTTAAACCTTCACTTGTGACATCTGATGCTGTCATTTTTGTTTGACTTATGAATGGTCCTTAATAAAGCTCCTGGGTTTAAACACATTCAGGCTTTTGAAAATCATGAGTGTGGACTTCTTAATATCTGTGAAAGGTATGGTAGAGAACCAAGATAATTTGCCTTACTAGAGGTAACTGTCAAGTGTAGTGCAGTCCTTGCTGTTCCATCAACAAGCTCTCATCTGTAACTCAGAAACATACATTCAGAGGTATATTATGTTTTCATAAGACTTAGGAAGGTTTAAAATCTCACAGACTGAAAATCTTAATGTGCCTAAATGGGCCTTCTGGAAAATCATTCATCCTGGCTAGGCCTGAATGGATTTTGCATTATTTTTTCATCTACAGTGTTTTATGTACAGCAATTGGCAGAGTACAGAATTCTGAAATAAGTGGTTGCAATGGAAAACATCTATTTTCACATTCTTTCTGTGTGATGGGACGTAGAAATACTGCCTTCCAGAGTGGAGGGCAGGGAAAGCAGTTTTCAGACTACATCCTTCAATCTGAAGGAATAATTTTTTTTTCATTAAGAGATTAAAAAAATAAAACCCAGCATTTACTCCATGGTTTGAAACGTCTCAAACAGGTTATACCTGCCCAGTTGCATTTAAAAGCGCTAGGAAATGGAAGCTGGAATGACTACAAACGTACGTATTTGTTTTTTAGTAAGTGGTGTGATGGGATTGCCCTCTATAGCAAGAGGGTTAACCTGCTGATATGATAGATTCTCTACAGTATTACTGTCTTTAGCACAGTCTGTCTTGGTTGTATAGGTACTAAGAATAGACCTTTCCTTACTGGGACTTTGTACTAATAGGTGTCTGACATTATGGAACTGTCTGCACTTCTCTGACCTATTATTTTTGTTTGCCACATGCTCATACATATTTTACAGTATATATATATATATATATATATATATATATATACACACACACACACACAGTATATTTCTTCACAGTCATAATAATTAAACTTTTGTTGGTTGGTTTAATTAAAACTTAGAGCCTGGAAAAAAGTGTTGGGAGACATTTTAGCTAGCTAGCCTGCTGCAGATGAACTGGTTTTACCTCAGGTATCCTTCAGCATGGCTGTAGTAGGAACAGAGTTATCTCCCTCTCTCCTTTTTCCTTCTCTGAAACTTGTCATAATTCAATTTTAATGAAAAGTGGGTTTAGCATACTTAAAATGTTTCTAAGGATGGTGTATAGTAATGCTGCCAGGAGAGACTTCTGAGGGTAAAGTACTACTACAGCCTTCTGGGAGCGTGCATATTTACCATGTAATCTTCATGTGCTTGCAGTGAGAACAGCTAGGTTTTAATATTCAGTGGTTTTGCAATGGTGTCATTGTATTTTTAATGAAAGTGCTATGTCTTTGATTACAGAAGCATGAATACTCTGTATTTAAACTGCTTCCCTAAGGCAGTAAGGGTACATGTTTGCATGGTTTCTCTATCAATCTCTGCCCTATCAATTTTTGATCTGCTTGGCTAAATCCAACCAGATTTGAAAGCAGAAGAGGAGTGTCAAAATATATTCGACTCCTATAACCTTAAAGAAAATTGGTGACAGGACAGAGGAAAGATAACCATATCTGTACATCTAGGGGAAACTGTCACATAGTACTCAGCAGAATACATGTTCTGAAAGATAATGCCCAACTGACCATCCAGAAAACACGTATTGACTGTCTTGTAAGAGCACACATACATTCAAGTCAGCCAAAAAGCTAAGGGATGTAGGAATGTATTGGGTTGTTTGGGATGTGGAAGGAGATGGGTATTTGAGGAAGAAGAAGAAATTACATTATGCAAGTTTGAGGAACATGTAGAGGAACTGGGTTTGTGTGGTAGAAGGATAGAAGGCATAATGGGTAAAAATCCAGACTTCCTTAATTCTGCAGACTGAAAGCATATTATTTAATACAAAAGCAAATGACAGTTATGAGAATTACAGTAGTACACTTCAGAATTTACATGAGCTTGTTAGGGTTATAGGTGGGCTTTTGAAACAAATCTAATTCTTATTTACTGAACTTTTGTTATGGTGTGAAGCAGTCTCAGAATAAACAAACTAGAATTCCTTTTTGATTAAACTAGTTGGGAAGATATTTTAAAAATTACACCTAATGCTCTCCAGCCACTAATAGTTATTCAGTCCATTGGATCAGAATAGAACTAGTCCAGAACAGAGCCACCTGAAATGCATATGTAGCATGGATATTAGTTCCCTGCCATTAACAAACAGACCTACTCCTAATGATCTGCATTGTTTGCTAATTTAGACATCTCTGAAGTTGTCAGTCACAAGACGTTTGTATTCAGAACTGATAATTTTATGTTAATCAAATAATTAGGTGGCCAACCATTTACTACCACAGTATCTCAGAATTTATCAATTAAAAATCTATTTATCTTTGCAAATGACACATTACACAGGTAACATTTACACGTCTGTGGATTAGGAAAGACC